TTCCCAACTGTGGATGGGGTTCTGTGTATTCTGCTGATGTAGAATAATTTTACAATTTAAAAGAAAACAGGGATTGTGCTCCAGAATCTTAGGCCTTGTCTACGTGCAGGAGTTGCACTGGTTTAGCAATAATCGGTTTTTAAACTGCTTTTGGTTAAACCAATATAAACCCCCTTGTCTTGGTAGACAGTTATTTCAGTTTCAGTGGCTTATTTTGGTTTAGCTTAATCTATTGCTGTTTGACGTGGCTTATACTGGAATAAGCCTAGTTTGAACCCAAATAAGTGTGTCCAGACAGCCTTTTGCATCAGAGATATTTTGCTTGTTTTGTAAACAAGCCCACAGTTTTCATTTAGAAAAAAATGTTTCTAGCTTTTATGGTTGTGAAAATAACCTTGAAAATGTGACCTGAGTTCAAATCAATGCAGGAATGTCTGCCTGAGTTTGCAGAAAGCCAGATATGATAGCTCTAAGAGAGATGAATTTACAGTAATTCCATCTAGTTCAGCCACCTTTGCAGCTGGAATGGTCTGCAGTGATTTTAACTTTGTTAGAAGCTTCCTTGCCATATTCCCAGGAATATGAGAACTGCCATACCTGATCAGACCAGTAGTCCATCTAGGCTGGGTATCCTGGCTCCAGATACTTCAGAGGAAGGTGTAAGAAAACTCATAATATCCTGCTGGTAGGGGAAGTTTCATCTTAGTTTCATGCAGTTTTTTGGCTGGCTAATGCACTATGTGTTTATACCCCTTATATCTTTTTATCCTATCTGTCATCTATCATGTATATCTATTGTTTGAACTATTCTCTACAGGTTCAGCCATAAAGGTCACAATAGGACATAGGTCATAAGTCAAAACAGATCAAAAGCTATAGTGTGCCAAATGTTGTAATATAATTCATGCTAGTGTATATAGCACATACATAAAGTGATAGCTCATGTTAGGACATTGCCTCATATTGCTCTTATAGTGCTACAGCTCCCCTAAGAGTGTTACAATATCCTTTTAACTTTCTCATGGATTCGCCTAGCTGAGAGTTATTTCTGGCCAGTGGAATGTACAGAGTTACCTTTTGGGTATTATTTAAGCAGGCGTTTTGTGATTTTGCCAGAGATCTTTTTTGCAGGAGTCAAGGTGTGTATTGTTTCCCTAGTTTAAAAAAGAGAGAGAGAGGAGGAAACTGAAGATTTACACTTTGGCATAAAGACATATTGGGTATATGATCCCTTGGTCACAGCAGGGATATGCGGGAGAAGCCATATTCAATCAACTTTAGGTGCCACAATTTTTTGTATTCCACCTTAAAACAAAAAATAGACAACTTGTAACCTAATACTTCTGTTTCTGGTGTTGAGGAATGTTGTTTTTATTTTATTTTCTAAATGCTGCCACTTACGTTTTTGCTCATTGTTCTGTTACTCTCGGATGAGAAAGAGATAAAGAATGAAAGAAAAAAACTCTGAAAATGATCCTTTTCCTATGGACTCTTCACCCCCCTCTCACTCTTTTGACTTTTCCCCCTTTGGGTACACAGTGGAAAAATCATTACTTGTGTGTGGAGGAAAAAGCATTTAATGAATCACAAAATCATTCAATTATTCTTAAAAACACTTCACATCACACATCTTTTTCCAAGTAAAGTGTGCATTTTTCACATTTAAATGGTGCATAACTAACTTATACAATGAGTCCCTAGAGTTAGAGACATTTTTACAGAAGGGTTCCAGAAGTATTCACAGCATTTTGATATATGTCAGCATTAAAGACCCTATATTTAAGATGCAGAGTTTCCTTCTCTCTCTTCTCTGTCTTTCAACAATATTGACGCAAAGGTGCCTTAGTGTTGTAGTGAAACTACCTAGCTTGTACCATAGTTAGATTCATGTGCTTTGCTTAGCTCAGAGTGCTGTATTACCATATGATAAATTTCTAGTGATCCTTAGCAGCTGATGTGGTAGCCATAGTATTTAGAATTTTTGTAATGAAATATCTATTTGTGGAGGACTGTAGGACTAGAAGTGAGACTTCCTCTACAAGTCAAATTATTCTCAGTTATTTGTTGGGTTTCATTCTACTGTCATATCAACTATTCACAAGTTTAATTCCACTGATTCTATAGGAGTTACTCTGGGTTTATGAACAGTGTAACTGAGAACAAAATCTGTCTTTATTTTCTGGTGCTCTTCTGCCCTTTTTTTACTCTCATTTGTTCCCCCTTTCATCCTCACATTTTTTGTTGGTTTTAAGTCAGTGAAGCTTGGACAATTTACATCAGCTCAGGATCAGCCCTGGCATCTTTCTCTTGATTTTAATAGGAGCTAGATTAGGCCCTAGACACGCAAGTACGTCTTCCTATTGACCTTGAAAGTAAAATGTATAGATCCTTGGAATCATGTGTACAGCATGAGAATATGAAATATATAAACAGTATTCAGATTTACTGTAATACATTAATGCATTTGCATTTACAGTAGTAAAATATTTCACAGCAAAACTCCCAGTAAAATCATTAGAGCCAGGATTTGACCTCAAGTATGTTCAAATCTTCAGCCATCCAGCAGCTTCTTTGACAAAGGCTAGTCCAATATAGTGACTTTACTCCACACCAGACTCATTACAAAATTCAGTTCCTGGGCCATGACTCCAAGTTTTCTCCCCCTGCATTTAATCATGTCTTTGGAGAGATAGTGAACAACTGAAAAAACTGACTTGAACAGAGGTATTTCACTTAGTGTATTATTTTTCTATCAACTTTTGTTACAATACTTGACCGAAAATAATCCCTAAATATGGTTTGAAACAGAAAAATATTGAACAAATATTTTTATTTGCATACCAAATCATTCCTAATTAGGATTGTCAAGCAATTAAAAAAAATAATCATGATTAATCACATGATTAAAAAAATTAATCGCAATTAATCGCACTGTTAATAATAGAATACCATTTAAATATTTTTGGATGTTTTATACCTTTTCAAATATATTGATTTCAATTACAACACAGAACACAAAGTGTACAGTGCTCACATTTGTTTTATTACAAATATTTGTGCTGTAAAAAACAAAATAGTATTTTTCAATTCAACTCATACAAGTACTGTAATGCAATTTCTTTATCATGAAAGTTAAACTTACAAATGTAGAAGTATGTACAAAAAATAACTGCATTCAAAAATAAAAATGTAAAACTTTACAGCCTACAAGTCCATTCAGTCCTACTTCTTGTTCAGCCAGTCACTTAGACAAACAAGTTTGTTTACATTTGCAGGAGATAATGTTGCCTGCTTCTTGTTTACAATGTCACCTGAACGTGAGAACAGACATTCACATGGCACTCTTGTAGCCGGTGTTGCAATATATTTACGTGACAGATGCGCTAAGGAGTCATATGTCCCTTCATGCGTCAACCACCATTCCAGAGGACACACATCCATGCTCATGATGGGGTCTGCTCGATAATGATCCAAAGCAGTGCAGACCAATGCATGTTCACTTTCATCATCTGAGTCACATGCCACCAGTAGAAGTTTGGTTTTCTTTTCCGGTGGTTCGGGTTCTGTAGTTTCCGCATCAGAGTGTTGCTTTTTTAAGACTTCTGAAAGCATGCTCCACACCTCATTCCTCTCAGATTTTGGAAGACATTTCAGATTCTTAAACCTTGGGACGAGTGCTGTAGCTATCTTTAGAAATCTCACATTGGTACCTTCTTTGTGTTTTGTCAAATCTGCAGTGAAAGTGTTCTTAAAATGAAAAACATGTGCTGGGTCATCATCCGAGACTGGTATAATATGAAATACATGGCAGAATGTGGGTAAAATAGAGCAGGGGACATACAATTCTCCACCAAGGAGTTCAGTCAAAATTTAATTAACGCGTTAGTTTTTTTAACGAGCGTCATCAGCATGGAAGCATGTCCTCTGGAATTGTGACCGAAGTATGAAGGGGCATACGAATGATTAGCATATCTGGCACATAAATACCTTGCAGTGCCTGCTACAAAAGTGCCATGCGAATGCCTGTTCTCACTTTCAGGTGACGTTGTAAATAAGAAGCAGGCAGCATTATCTTCTGCAAATGTTAAACTTGTTTGTCTGAGCGATTGGCTGAATAAGAAGTAGGACTTAGTGGACTTGTTGGCTCTAAATATTTTTTGTTACATAACTACACTCAAAAACAAAACAATGTAAATCTACATTTGTAAGTTGCATTTTCACAATAAAGAGATTGCATTACGGTACTTGTATGAGGTGAATTGAAAAATACGATTTCTTTTGTTTATCATTTTTACAGTGCAAATATTTGTAATAAAAATAATAATATAAAGTGAGCACTGTACACTTTGTATTCTGTGTTGTAATTGAAACAATATATTAGAAAATGTAGAAATACATTCAAAATATTTACTAAATTTCAATTGGTATTATATTGTTTAACATTGTGATTAAAACTGTGATTAATTGCGATTAAATTTTTAATCACTATTAATTTTTTTCAGTTAATCGCTTGAGTTAACTGCGATTAATCGACAGCCCTATTCTTAATATAATCTGAATTGAACGTTTTGGGGTACGTGAGTATGTTTATCATCTTTATATACAGTCACAATATAAAATGCATAATGAAAGAGAAAGGACTTTACAGGACAGAGGGTAAAAATATATTTTGACTGAAAGCTCATTGTGGTGGGAACTGTCTTACTGTACACACATATAGCACAATTTCAATTTGACTGAAATACTACAAATAATAAATATTAAATCTCTAACAATAAAATAAATTAATAAGAATACAGGTGTTAATCTGCCAGTGTATGGTATATTGCCCACTTATACAGATCCTATGCCAAGTACCTTATTATTTTTTTAATAATAATCAATTGTGTATAAAGGCATAGGTATGCGTGACACTTTTGAAAGGGAGTAAAGACATGTTGGGACACTCCAATCAACATTAATGAATTAACAATATATTTTGCTTTGAAATGATAAAGTGAGAGGGAGCCTGAGTGGACAGGAACTAGTTGCATTTTGTAAGCAGACACGTTTCCTACCATTTAACGTGCATGAAACACATAGGTTGCATTTCTTATCCGGTCCTGGGATTACTCAAACTAAAAGAGAGATGGAAAAATCAGCATAATGATGCCTAAATGTAAACAGCAAAAACACTTACAGAGAACATTCATACTACTAGAACACTGAGAAACCCAGGATTGAATGGACACGGGCCCACATCCAGAGGGATTTAAGCACCTAAATCTGAAATTTAGGTGCCTATATTCCAGTTTTAGGAACCACTGTGATCCACAAAACCCCCACTAAGCTACCACGTAACCCTGTAGGTGCCTAAACTCACTCAGTGTTCAAATTTTGACGGTAAAGGTTCCCAAAGCGCCTAACTTGCTGCCTCTGGGCATGTGCACTGGTGCCTCTCTGGGATGATATGGGGAATGGAGGGTCTTATGAGAGGAGACTGGAAGAGCTTGGTCTGTTTAGCCTAGCTGAGAGGGGATATGATTGCTCTCTATAAATACATTCGGGGGATGAATACCAGGGATGGTGAAGAGTTATTTAAGCTAAAGAATAATGTTGACCCAAGAACAAATGAATTTCAACTGGCCATGAACAAATACAGGCTGGAAATTAGAAGGTTTCTAATCATCTGAGGGGTGAGGTTCTGGAATAACCTCCCAGTGGGAGCTGTGGGGGTAAACAACTTAATTAGTTTTGAGAGAGAGCTGGAAAAAATTTGGAGTGCAATTGTATAACGGTTGTTTGTGATGGGAGGGCTCAGCAGCCATGGGACTCATTTCTGGCCTACATCCTGTGTTCCTAAAGCTCATGCGTCAGAGTTTCAGCCAGGCACCAGGAGGGATTTTTTTCACCCAATGTATTCAGGGAGGGTTTTATATCTCTTTCCTCTGACGCATCAGGAGATGACCACGGTTGGAGATGGGACATTGGGGGTGGAGTGGGCCACAGCTCTGAAGTGGCATTGAGTATTCTCTTGGCTGTCTAGTTCTTGCCAACATGTTTAGTGTCTAACTGATCGCCCTATGTGGAGTCAGGCAGGACTTTTCCCCCCAGGTCAGATTGGCAGTAATCTTGGGAGGGTTTTTTGCTTTCCTTTATAGGGTGTGGGTTTGAGTCACTTGCCAGGATTATCTGGGTGTATCCCACTTAATCAATTCCCTGCCATTGCAGGGACCTGGGGCACTGGTACACCTCGGTCCCTCCTCTTCTGTGCCTGTGGCACATAATAGGCTAGTCTCCTGTAGATGGGAATGCTTTGGTCTCATTTGGGTTGTTAGGTTAGTGTGCAGGTGTGAGGTAGTGTTAATAGCCTGTGCAATCTGGGAGGTAGGAGACTGCATGATGGGGAGAAAAGATTTGAACAGTGGTCTCCTACCTCCCAGGTGTGGGCCCTAACTCCCATGCTGTAGAATCATTCTCTCTCTTGCTCAATGATTTAATTAAGTATTTATACAGAGTGAAACAGCTTAAACAAGAAAGACTGAGGGAAACCCATATCAGAATATCCCAATATCTCCTGAGAGATGGGAAGAAGGGATTTGAACAGAGGTCTCCTATCAGGCAGCGTCGGGAACTGAACCCAGGTCTCCCCTATCCAAGTGCTCTAGCCACTGATCTTAACCCTTATAAGGTAGGCACCACCACCAGCCCACCCCCCATTTTTTGTGATGTGAGATGAGATGAGGCAGGCACATAACACATTATTGCAAGAAACGGCTTAAGCGTCTAAGCTGCCTGACTCCAGGAAAGAGGTGCCTAACTCCATGAGAGGGGCAGGGCTTAGGACCCATCCCTCTTGTTATCTGCCATTGGTTAGCATAGGCAGGCAGCCACCTAGCATGCTGTCTTTTGTGGAGCCTATTCACAGGCATCTATCTCTCTCCATTGTATAGGGAACCTAGGTGCCTAATTCAGGATTTGTGGATTCCAATATTGTTCCAATGATTTTCTAGGGGCCTAAAATTTAGCACTACCATGCCTAAGTCCCTTTGTGGTTCAGGGCCATGGATAGTAAAATACCCTCTCACCAGTGAAGACGGTCCTTGAGACATTGACTGAGACATATTGGATCTGTGCTGAACAATTTAGGTGTAAATCTTAGTTCTTTCTTTCCTCATGAGCAAACTGAAGGGAAGCTGACTAGGACCCAGAGGACTGAAGCACATCAGTTAAAAATGTGCTTAAGTCTTTTTCTGGCTCTAGGCCTTTATCACTGCACATTAAGTAGAACAAATCGCAGGCCACAAATTACCTCTCTTGAGAATAATATAGAAAGACTCTTGGCCAGGTTCAATGGCTGACAGATGCAGGAGCGGTGCAGAATGAGGTTGTGGAGTGGCGTCTCTAGGTATACGAGATGAAGATCTCTTGTGATGTGTGTTGATAAGCACTATGACAATGGAGAATTTGGAGAGAAAAATCAGATGCAATCCTAAAAACTAACCTGATCATCTCCTAGCACTGAAAGGTGGACATAGTTGCTTTTGTTACTAGAACCCTTGCTGATCATCTAATAATCAACCTAAAAAAAAAAAAGGAGCTTTGTTTATTTATGGAAAGAGGCTGTGGAATGTCTATATGGAGAGCAGTGAACAAAGCTAGTGCACATTTATAGAAGCCATGTCTGATATAAGAGGGGCGACAGATTTCTAAAAGCAGCAAGGAAAAAGCAAGATATTCAGTATCAGGAGAATAAAATCCTTTTTTCGAGCCTCTCCCTGCTCATGCAAGCCAAGAAAAGAGATCTAGTGTTTCCGAAAAAAAATATTTTGATAATTCTCACCAAAGCTGCAGTATCTAACCAGAAAAAAAGTAAAGATCCTGCACCAGAAGATAGCTTCTAGGACAGGGCATTCTTAGGGAATGGTGGAAACAAACAAGTTAAAAACCCCAAATCTCTGAAAACGGTAAAGCTAATGGTGACTGAACCCTTTCAAGTCACTCTTTGAAACCTTGGCAACAATCCACGCTTTTTGCTAACCCTTTGTTTTCAATCAGAATGTCTGGAAAATGTTGCTGTAATGTGAATAATATTAATATTTACAGTACCTGTAATGGGGATACTACTAGCTCACCATATGATATACTAACCCTTTCATGGAAGCTATTTGTGTTCTAATTAATGGAGATAGCCTATCTCCTAGAGCTGGAAGGGACCTTAAAGGTCATTGAGTCCAGCCCCCTGCCTTCACTAGCAGGACCAAGTACTGATTTTGCCCCAGATCCCTAAGTGGCCCCCTCAAGGACTGAACTCACAACCCTGGGTTTATCAGGCCAATGCTCAAACCACTGAGCTATCCCTCCCTTCCTTCTGAATGTGGCCATTTGATGAGAATTCTTCAAACTCATATAGTTTATATGATTTTTATTTAGTCTAAGATTTCCCCCCCCCAATATCCATCAACATACACACATTGCGAGAACTAGAGAGAAAATTCAACTCTCCAATAATCTTTATAGGTCAACTGTTCCCTTAATAATCCCTCATTCTATAAACACCTAAACAAGAGAACTAGAGAAAAATTACTGGAAATAGTAACAGACTCAATACCTTTGAAGATGTTGCTGAGCTGGTTTAATAACAATGGTTAACTGGTTATATAGGAAACCTGGGAATCATGAATAGAGTTAGTTCCTCTAAAGTTGAAATTTTACCTTTTCCTTTCTTCCCCACCCTTAACATAAAAGTAAAATTTCCCCCACAAATCTGCCTTGCATGGTAGACCTTGTTTCTGATATTCTATTCTCCCTTCTGTATGTGTGTGGAACTCCCTTTGATACCAAAGAGATATTGGCACATCATGCTCTCTTGGTAGACACTTCAGAAATGTTGCTAGATTAAATAGCCAGGGACAGCAGAATTTGAGTTGTGATCCACCAAACAGATCTGAGAGAAGTATATTGCTCTAAGAGAGGATAGACTTTCAAGATACGTGGTGCTATAATGGGGGATGAGGACTTTTCAATTCTAATCCACCCATTCCGGATGAGAGAGACTGAGCTAATACCCTCGTGTATGGTGCATTGCATCTAGCTACGGAAGTAGTGTTAGGGTGGAATTTATGGACTCTAAATTGTTTGCCAGGAAATGTTTACTAGCTTTACACAATAAATGACTGTGAAAGCATATCCCTGAGTTTAATGTGATATGGCTATTTCCTTACATTTGGTACAAAGTATTATGAATACCAATAAAGGAAACTTTTTAAAAAATATAAAACAAACAAACAATGCATGTTCATATTTATGGGACCTAGTTTGGAAAGGTTGGGTTGACTACAGATTGTACAGGGTAAATTTATTGCACTCACCTCTGGATCCATGCCATGCCTGACATATCAGAAATGAGATGTATGACTTTATTTTTAGAGCCAAATACTCTCATCATCAAGGTATATTTTAAAAAAAGAATCTTGTTACCATAGCCGCAGTGTGTCATATACAATGAAGAACTCTACATGCATAAGAGAAGGCTAGATATAAACCCCCGAAAACAAGTGCAAAACTTCACATTTAGCAGGTTAAAATGTCAAAAGTTTTGGACTTCTTTGTTACAGTTTGGAATGTTGGGAGTTTGTTGCACCTTATCTATAATCTTTTATCTTCGACAGTTCAATGCTATGCTAGGGACAAGTGTACAGTTTTACAGGATATGTTACATTAGATACTTTGGATAATGCTTCGCAGAGTAAGTGAGTACATATGGGTACATAAAGGTACAGAGTAACAGTTTTAATTTCAGAGGGTTTGTTTTCTTCTGCACAGTGTGCCTATGTAACAACTCTCATTACTATTAAGAAGAGAATAGACCCAACATAGTTTGTTTTAATCATACAATAGGTTTTGAAGAGAGTGAGATGCTGGCATATTTTTTGCATGTGTGAACATGTGTGTGTGTGTGATTTTATATATACAATTTAACAATGTGATTTTCAAAGATTAATTAGGCATTTGCATTTTCTATAAATAGAAATCAGTAGCATACATGGATACTCCCTTTCCATAATGCTTTGCTCTATAGGCTCATAGATTTGAGTTGATTTATAAAGATAAATTTAAAGAAAATGCCAAAATTAGAGGTTTGATCCTGCAAACCTTTGCACGTCCACAAATCTGATATCAGCAATAAGACGTCACTGGGATTTTGAGGTGTGCAGGAAATTCAGGATCACTTTTTTAATGTATTAATAAATCAGCTTAGCTGCTGGACTTTTTATTAACATTTTTATGTTAAAATGCAGTTTTCAGTGTGTCTCTTCAAATCACTCTGAAATAGTAATTATGTTTAATTGATTTTTTTTTAATTTCTATTACACTTTAACTATGGGGCTGACCCTGTAAAGGGCTGAGGGTCTCCTGTGAAGTGAATGTGAGTAGAAAGGGCTCAGCACTTTGCAGGGTCAAGTTTAAGACATTTTATAATAGAAGACATTTGGGGGATGAATTATTTTAGATTTTATTCATAATATACAGTAGGCTGGTAATGGAGATTTAGTAGAATTTTGAGAATAAGTAATTCTAGGACTCTGTAGGATCCAAAGAACTTAACCCAATGAAGGATTAGCAAATATATAGTGCAAATTTTATCTGAAAAGTTTTGGTGACAGCAAAAATTATTTGTACACCTGGGAGTTTGAATAATTGGATGCATTCTTCTTATTGGACATTTTAATCCAAATTTTTGTTTCAAATTAAAAGAGGTTAGATAAACAAGATTTTACTGTAAATAATAATTTACCACCAAATTGCAGTCAGTTCCTGCTGCCTATAACAAGTTTGGTGGTGGGGAAATCCCAAATGCCCCCAAAGCAATTTATTTGACCAGTGTGCTATATTACTTTAGAAAGAGCTGCAGTATTTGGTGACATGAAGCAAATGCCACAGCATTCAGTATAACATAGCCCAAACAGTGGTGTTTCTCATGCCTTTTCCTTTCATTAGAGGCATGTTCTGCACCACCAGATGCTGCAATCTAGATTTAGGGGCATATACTAATCTTGCACAAACAGGAGTTGCATATGTTATGAGTTAATTCCTTTTTGTTGTTCTCTCTTGCACATGGAATTTTGAAACAGTTAAATACATGGAAAATATTTTTAGTTTGCTGTATTTTAGTAGCTTGTATTGAAATATCCTCGGATTACTTATTAATGAAAAATTAAATCTGTTATATATGTGCAACAACAAAATGTATGAATGATCCCATGGACACACAGCGCTCGAGGGAATTGCACAAATCTGGACAATGTCCCTAAGTGTTGGGTTTTGCATTTGAGTCCCAAAGTATCTGAAATTTGTGTAGAAACATGTTATTTGTATTACAGTTATGCCTAAAGGCCCCAGATAGGATCATTATGCCCTGGTGCTGGCACTGTACATATATATAGTAATAAACAGTGCCTAACCAAAATAGCTTACATAAACCAGAGTCATGCCTGTTGATGTTCCCTCTGAGGATGTCAAAGTGCATTGCCTATGAAAGCAAAAGAAGTGACACAGATATCATAGTGTGTCCATTTCAGGTGCTAGTAGAGTATATGCATAACTATCTATTCAAAGTTTTGAGTGAACAATAGTCTATTAGGGACCACGTGGGAATAATCTAAAAGATACATTTCTGGAGGATATAGGTACTCCTCAAAAGGATCAACAATTTTAGGACTCAAGTCAAGACACAAAAGCACATGCCTAACTTGAACATAAGAACAGCCATACTGGGTCACACCAAAGGTCCATCTAGCCCAGTATCCTGTCTTCTGACTGTGGCCAATGCCAGGTGCCCCAGAGGAAATGAACAGAACAGGTAATCATCAAGTGATCCATTCCTTGTTGCCCATTCCCAGCTTCTGGCAAACAGAGGCTAGGGACACCATCCCTGCCCATCCTGGGCACTAATTTATCTGGTTCTTTTTTGAACCATTTTATAGTCTTGGCCTTCACAATATCCTCTGGCAAGGAGTTCCACAGGTTGACTGTGTGTTGTGTGAAAAAATACTTCCTTTTGTTTGTTTTAAAACTGTTGCCTATTAATTTCATTTGGTGACCCCTAGTTCTTGTGTTATGAGAAAGAGTAAATAACACTTCCTTATTTACTTTTTCCACACCAGTCATGATTTTTTAGACCTCAATCATATCCTCCCTTAGTCATCTCTTTTCCAAGCTCAAAAGTCCCAGTCTTATTAATCTCTCCTAATATGGCAGCCGTTCCATACCACTAATCATTTTTGTTGCCCTTTTCTGAACCTTTTCCAATTCCAATATATCTTTTTTGAGATGGAGCAACCACATCTGCACACAATGTTCAAGATGTGGGCATACCATGGATTTATACAGAGGCAATATGATATTTTCTATCTTTTTATCTATTTCTTTCTTAATGATTCCCAGCAT